TGTAACCCAAACTTGCCAAAACTGATCTTTTTGGCAAAGCAGACCCATCATGATGGGCACCTGGACAGAGCAGCAGGCGTGCCTATGCAAACATGGTCTGCTCTTGAAGTCTTTCCCCCCAGTGCATCACTAGATGTTGGGGGAAATTCCTTCAAACCCTGCTTACAGGAGTTGGGGGAGATTCCTTCAGCCCCTACCAAGGGAAGAGCCATTCAGAGCAACAATTCCAGGTTCTGAACCAAAGCTGCTCTGCTGGTGGAAATGATCGAGTCCAACTACAGTGGAAGAGCCGTGACACAGAGCATGGACCACTGCTGTCAATTCCAGATGCTTACTAGTGATTATGTAAAAAGCCAATACCATGATCACAATGACCTTTTACAGAGAAGTATATGAAATTGAGGGAAGCAAGAACATTTAGGCTTTGCCTACACTGCAAGTTTTTGTGTCAGAAAATATGCTAATGAGGAACTCATTAGCATGAGTTGCGCTGTCATTAGCATATTTTCTGCCAATTTTTTTTTTTTTGCACAAGGGGTGGCATAAGGATCTTGTGCAAAATAATTTTTTTGCGCAAAACGGAAGCGGCTACACTGCTTTTTGCACCAAAACCCTTCGCATAAAGAATCGGCAGAAAATATGCTAATGACATTGCAACTCATGCTAACGAGTCCTTCATTAGCATATTTTCTGCAGGGTAGACAAAGCCAAAGAGAATGGAAGTGGGCTAAATCCTCTCCTTTTCTTGCAGGTGGCTTGCTACAAACCTAGAGTTTCTGGGTAATGGTATCGTGTTGTTTGCAGCCCTGTTTGCTGTGATTAGCAAAACACATCTTAGTCCAGGGATTGTTGGCTTTTCCATTTCGTATGCTCTTCAGGTAACTCTAAGCAGCATTGCATGATTTTACCATCTCATCAGAAGAGATTGTGAGAGTACAAACAATTTTTTTAATCCTTACATAGGTTGCAAATAGCTCTAAGGGTGCCATCCTGCATCTCTTACTCACTTGTTTAGCACTAAGATTGCTAACATCAGGCTCCACTGATTTAAAAAAAATAGGATTTTAAAGATCCTAATTTCCTTTCCACTAGTTGTGCTGTTTATGTTTGACATTTCTCAGCTTAGGCAATGAAAAGAAGTTTGCCAGCTTCCTATTTTTATGATTTCCTAGGCAATATCAGATTCTCAAGTACCAGCACAATTATGCAACATTTGAGTTTAAAATATTAAAATGCCCTTCCACTATTTATAACAAAGTCTTTGAAATATTTCTATTCATTTCTAGACTAAGCTATTTTTATAGATTTCCTTATTTTTTTAACCTTAAGTAACTCTATCATTGTTATATAATATAGGATTAGATTAGAAAATGGCTCAAATACATACAGCATCAATCTTGTTCATGTAAATTTAAGCTTACATGGTCACTGTAGTTTAACAGCCAAATGGCTTTCTTCAGCATTTGTTTCCCATGCTCTCGTGCCTAGTTGCATATTGAGATGAAAATAATTAGAGTTACTTTTAAGAACTTTTAAAATGAGACAGGCAGCAGTAACATAGCATTCTTGATAAATCAGCATTGAGGTAGTATCCCAGTGAGCTGGCAAGGCTCCTCCAATATGGCCTGGCAAACTTTGAAACTCTCTTTTCTAGAAAGGCCTGGTGGGATCAGGATTTATTTTATTTTGTCTTGCAAAAGAATTTTCAGAAAATCTCATAACAGCTTAGCCAGGGAGCAGGCCCATCCTTAAGATTTTTGGTGCCCCACTCAGCACAAGTACCTATGTCCTCCATCCCAGCCTGGGGGCAGAGCTGTGCTCAGGGCTTTGGGAGCAGGAACTGTGGGGTGCGGGCAGGAGCAGGAAGAAGGGAAGGAGGCTGGTGGCGGAGTAGGCAGACAATGACACAGCTGGCTAGAGCTGCAGGCCGGTAGACAGAGCAGCCTGCTAGAACTGTGGCTGGCAAGTGGAACGGGACAGGTAGGGCAGGGAGACCTGGGGCCAGGGGTTTGAGTTCAACAGGGCCAGGATGCGGAGCAGGAGGCTGGGGCATTGGGACCAACTGGGCCAGGATGTGGAGTGGAGGACAGATGCAGGACTGGTGTCAACTCAGCTGGGAGTCAGAGCAAGGGAGGGGCCCAGGAAGCCAGTACTGCCCACGGCTAGTGGTGGCCCTAGACATACAGGGCACTACTGATTTTGGAACTCCATTAGTGTCCCAAATTCAGTGGCGTCCTATGCAGCTGTACATGCCTCAGGATGGCCCTAGCAAGGAATACCCCTGTGCAAACACCAGACCTGATCCTACAAAGTACTATGTGCTAGGGTGTTTGAAAGAATAAGGTCAAAAGTTGGACTTCATTTCTAGCCACTCCTTTTGCTAGATAACTGGCGTTTTGAACTGGATGGTACGCTCCTGGACAGAAATAGAAACCAACATTGTGTCTGTGGAGAAAGTGAATGAGTATTCAAAAACTCCAAAAGAGGTAACTAACAACCATTGTTCTCACCCTTTGAACTGGACTAGGTCTCAGACCAGATCAGCAATTTTTCTATTTTAAATGGATCAGTACCTTCCCATTTTAATTTCCAGAGGCCCAGGTAGGTTACTTTAAAGAACTGTTTTAAAATAAGTAGGTGTTCTTTAGAACTTCTGCTCAGTTTAGTTCCTTGGACAGTGAAGCTGTAGTTGTTATTTTTAAAGAGTATAACAGTTACCACAGCCATGGAATGCACTGAAAGGCTTTCTCCAGGCTTAAGAACAGGGCTAGTTATGGCATCTCAGCTCTGAAGTTATGTTGACTGTTGCTTGCTTTTTAAAGACTGAGAATCTCAGCATCATTTTTAATGTTTATATAGCAGTAAAATGATTAACAGGTAATATCTCTTCATGTTTATCATATCAACATAGATTGAACTGTGTGTGGCAGAGCAGATTTTCACAAAGGGGCATTTGTGAGGCTCTATTAATCTGAGTATATTTAGATCAGAATGGTTTTCTGATAATGTAATTAAGCATACTAATGCTTATCCCCAAACTTCCCTTAATAAAGTAATCTAGATCTTTGTATGACTTAACGAATTTTAACTTCACAAATTAATTTATGAGGAATAACTTGGCCTCTAAAGAAGCTTTTAAAAGAGAGACAGAGAATTTTGCACACATGCTTTGAGAAGTTTTCCATTTTGACTACATCCGTGTTACACGAAGACTTCAAACTGCTTAAGGAAGTGCTGTTTGTTTCTTTTTTGCACAGGCTCCTTGGATTTTAGGCAGTAATTCTGCAAGTCAGGCTTGGCCAACTGAAGGAGCAATTGAATTTAGAAATTTTGGATTGCAGTACAGGCCAAATTTAGAATTTGCACTGAAAAACATCAATATAAAAATAAACGGGCAAGAGAAGGTAAGCAAGGCCATTTATTTCTTTGGAGTGGCAAGTTTGAACAGTGCTTTACTATAGATACCTGGTGTTAAACGGAGAACAATCCATGTCTCAAAGAGCTAGAAGTTTGAAGATGCAAAAGCTACAGGGAGATAAACACACAAGGGCTGTGTCTACACTGGGCCACTTGTTCCGGAAAAGCGGCTGATTTTCCGGAATAAGCTGCAAGCTGTCTACACTGGCCCTTGAATTTCCGGAAAAGCAACGATGCTCTACTGTACAAAATCAGCTGCTATTCCGGAAAAACTATTCTGCTCCCGCTCGGGCATAAGTCCTTATTCCGGAACACTGTTCCAGAAAAAGGGCCAGTGTAGATAGCCCAGTAGTCTTTTCCGGAAAAAAGCCCCGATCGCGAAAATGGCGATCGGGGCTCTTTTCCGGAAAAAGCGCGTCTACATTGGCCACAGACGCTTTTCCGGAAAAAGGGCTTTTCCGGAAAAGCAGCCTGCCAAGGTAGACGCTCCTTTTCCGGAAAAACTGAAAACGGAATAGTATTCCGTTTTAAGCATTTCCGGAAATTCATGCCAGTGTAGACACAGCCAACATGTTTGGCCTTCATAGTCTCCTAGCGCACTGAGGAACCCTTCTTAATATATGGCTTTGTTTTCAGTTCTGATACTGTGTGAAGAATTCTAGTGAGTCAGATCCTGTCATTTTATGGGAAGTTAGCAGAGCAGCTTTACAGGAATTTAATGTTTGTTTTAATCTAATGTAATATCAAAGCTCCTTTATATTTGGCAGCTATTCTGGTTTGTCTCCATCTAAGGCTTTTAATGAGTTCCCTCTCCAATAAAACAATTTAAAAGTTCCCTATGGGCTGTTACCCAGCTCTGAGACTGTTAGGTGAAATATTTTGATGATGTGAGGCTAAAGCTCCTGGGCAGTATTAAAAAATAGTCAGGTCCCTTCAAGCCACATGTCCTGGTGCTAATGATTATGTATTGAATTTGGAATCCACATGGCAGATCATGCGCATCACCAAACTGCAACCAAAAGGAAGGCCCTTCATGCCAGTCCCCAACAACTATCCCATGAAGCTGCAATGAAAAGGAATTAAATCCTGGGACCTGAGACATGAATGACTAGCCAGTATCGCACCCAGGAGCAGCAAAGGACTGGCTGTTTGTCAGCCACAGATCTATTCATCTCCTCCACCATTAAGCAAAGGAATAGTTTTCCTCTTGGTAATCTGAAGAAAGATATTGGATGACTTTCAAAGAGGCCCAAAAAGAGCAGCAGATGAAGGGAGAATAGCCTGTAGCTGAAAATGGAAAGGAGAGTTATGAAGAGCATCAGTCCATGTGTCAGCACCACCACTGAACCCAGGCATGGAAATAGAGGAATAGCTGCTTAAGATCTAATGCCACTTACAGTCCAAGGCTGGAAAAATTGAACCAGTGATTTGGTGTTACCTGTCAATTCCATGGTCCTAAAATTTAACTGTAAGCCAAATTTTGTTAAAAAAATCCTAAACCTTCATTGCATCTTTCAGATTGGCATAGCTGGAAGAACAGGAGCTGGAAAATCAACCTTTGCCGTGGGTCTTCTGAGATTAGTAGAAGCTGCAGAAGGCGAGATCTTAATTGATGGAGTGAATATTGCCCAAATAGGCCTCCATGACCTTAGAACCAAAATAACTCTTGTCCCCCAGGTATGAAGTTAATATCTAAAGGCATTTATCAGTTCTTCATTCAGGGTATTTCTATTAGTGTCCATGACATGCAGGAAGGCTTAGAAGGTCACAGTGAGAAGTAAATTCATCATTTTAAAGGTAAAAGTCATCCCTGTAATCACATTGTCTGATCTTCCACATAACACTGGCCATAGCATTTCACCCTATGATTCCTGCAGTGGAAGGAAATTAAGAATCTATGTTGTTTTGTAACACTCAGTTCTGAAGTTTTTTGTGCTGTCTTTATACTCAGGATCCAGTTTTGTTTGCTGGTTCTCTACGAATGAACCTAGATCCTTTAAACAAGTACTCGGATGAAGTCATCTGGAGAGTTTTGGAACTAACTCAGCTCAGGAACTTTGTATTGGATCTCCCTGATCAATTAAACCATGAGTGCACTGAGCGAGGGGAGAACTTGAGGTACTAGAAATGCAGAAAGAGAAAGGCAGTGCCACTTGGAGGATGCACAATTAGTAAACATTCTTAAATGAGATTAATAAATGTAAACAGAACACTCTAATGTGGTAAAGCACAAAGCAATAGTCACCCCAGAACAAACTTCTTGTAGCCCTGCAATCTTTAGCACGGTGGAATTACTTAGATTGTACACTTTTTCAGGCTTAGGGGCCATCTGTTGTGTGTTTGTACAGCACCTAGCACCATGTGATCCTGGCCTATGACTAGGATAACTTTAGGTACTAGAAATGCAGAAAGAGAAAGGCATGCTTCATGCTGCCATCTGCAGTATTACCAGAACCACCGGGGCCCCTCAAGCTTCTTCCTAGAATCAGATCAGATGCCTTCTCCAAACATTCCCAGACTCCTGCCTCAATAGGGCAAGGCAGCAAGCAGCTGCTGTGCCATTTCCAGACTCAGCATTTCTAAAGGAAAAGTGACGTCTGTGAATTGACTTTTATTTGCCATTAGGGATATGAATGGGTAAGGGGTTACTGAGTAAGCCTCACCTGCTGCTGCTTTCGCACCCCTGCCACTTTTGGCCCTACACAAGGCTACCTTGTAGTCTGGGAGCCAGCAGCCCAGCTAGAGCAGCCCCTGCCTGCAGCGTGGGGGCCGTGCTAGGTCAGCTATGGCTGGAGCCCCCCCGCCCACCCCTATTTGATCAGTTTAACTTAATCTTTAACCAGTTAATTTATCAAATGGGATTTCACATCCCTATTTGCCATCTGCTCTTCTTGCTTTCAGTGTTGGTCAGAAGCAGCTCATGTGTCTGGCCAGAGCACTCCTGCGGAAAGCCCAAATCCTGGTGCTAGATGAGGCCACCGCAGCAGTAGATCTGGAAACTGATCTTCAGATTCAGTCGACCATAAGGACTCAGTTCAAAGAGTGGACCGTGTTAACAATCGCTCACCGTATCAACACCATCCTAGATTACGACAGGTAACCTTTCACCAGTGTGTTTGCTCACATTCATTTTCACAAGGCCCAAGGAAGACAGAGGCAGTCTTGATGAACTGGATAGGCCTTGGAGCCGTTTAGAGAGTGCCCTCTCCTTGGAGCCACTTAGGTCTCATTTCTTGTTTACCTCACACTCTGCCTTAGAAGGGGCCTTCTCACCATTAACCATGGGTGAATCAGCAGGAAAGTGAGATCTGTGTCCATTTCACGCTCTCTACTGCCCTTTTTGATTTACTCTTAGCAGTCCTGATTTATCTGCATGTCCCCTCACTGGAGCTCTTCTCCCCTGCTCAGATATAACAAGATAGAGCTCAGAGCAGGGGTGGCCAACCCGTAGCTCGCAAGCCACATGCGGTTCTTCAAAGGAAAAATTGCAGCTCCTGCACCCACGGCTCAGCTTCTTCACCTGCAACTGTTCTGCATTCCCATGCTCTGACCTTTTTTCCTTGCCTGGTCAGGGCGCTGCTTGGGGCAGCGAGATCTGATGTTGTGGCTGACAGAAGCCCGCTTGTGCCACATGCAGCTCTTAAAGGGGCAGTGTTTTTGGGTGTGTTTTTTTTTCCCCTCAACTTTCTTTCCCTTGGCTCTTTGAGCTGTATCCACCACTATTTCGGCTCTTTGTCTGTAATGGGTTGGCCACCTCTGGCTCTGAATTAAACCAAAGACAAGATTTACTCCACTCCTAGTCTCTCCAAGGGACTATCCTATAAGTAGTAGTTCTCCTCAGACCACTACCAGCCTGCAAATGGTTCCAAGACACACCCATGAGGGTGGAGGTGCAGAACTGAGGCATGCTCTAATAATGGTAGTTTTCGTATTGTTTGCATTTCGTGTGACTGCTGTGCATCCCAGGGCTTCAATTTCTTTTATATATTTATATCTCTATTCACAGGATTTTGGTCTTGGAAAATGGGCATGTTGCTGAATTTGATACTCCAGAGAAATTAATAGCACAGAAGGGACTATTCTATAGACTGGCTGAAGAATCAGAACTTGTCTGTTACCCAAGATACCATAGTACCAGCACCGTCTGAAAGAACAGATGTGTTCTTACTTCAGCTACATAGGTTTGCTATAAAATGCCTGATATTTACCAAAAAATCTGACTTGAAATTGAGCCCCAAACTACACTGGATACATGAAGGGAAACTGCATTGGTGTGCTTGGAAGATAATACAGGTATACTGTGCCTATCACATGCTAGGTGAGATGATGACTGGAAAATGAGACCTGTTTTCACACACTCATGGGAGTATGTTAAACTATGGCTGCAATTGTGTATTAGTTACCAAGTTTGTTGTCACTCTCGAGGGGACAGTGAACACGGTGTAATATTTTAACGTAGCTCCAAATTAATTGGCTTAGTTTTCAAAATGAAATAACTCAGTTACATTCAATTAATCAGATGAGCCACTTAGAATTCTGGAGTAGGCATACAAATATGTACTCACATCTTACACATTTATGGCAAAATAACTGAGCTTTCCAATGAGCTCTGTTAAAGAATATAAATAATCAGGGCTCGACAAATCGCTGTTTCTACTCGCCACAGGCGAGTAGATTTCAGCCGGTCGCCCTGTTCACCAGCGGCACACGCATGCCGCATGCACAATGCAGGGCTGGTGAGTAGATTTTGCTGCCGTTAGTCAAGCCCTGTAAATAATGGTAAAATACATGGTGCAACAGTTATCGGAGTGTTGTGGAAATTTCTAGAATGCCAAAGAAATCATACTAGATATGTAATGTTCTAATGAAGTGAATAATATTTTAAATTGAAACAAATGAATACACAAGTATTTTCAGTACTATGCACGTTTTACTGTAAGGTATTTACTCATGTATGTAGATGCTCCCCTAGCACTCTTATGGAGAACATGGATTCCAAACTAGCTGATGGAGGAGTTACAATAATGAAAGATTAGTTTCTATTTTAATTTTTTCATCTGTGCAGGATTGGAGCCCAGTGAATCACCAGGGCAAACAGACCTTTGAAAGAACAACAGATATTTTAAACTGGTTTGGCCAGCAGGACAAAATGCCACCAAGTCTCAAAAGTCAAGTTGTAAGGAAAGGCTGAAAAAGAAGGGACTTGGAGAAAGGATTAATCATGGTGATTAAACACCACCTTTTAGATAAATAGGTGATTTTAGGACTCCACTGATGTGAAAAAAAATCACTACCAAAGGCATAAATAAAGGAGTCAAATCTACTGCATACAAAATTTAAACAGTGTATAAAGCAGCTGATGTACTACTGAGATTTGATGATGAGTTGAAGGTTGGGTGTAAAAGCAGGAGGTAAGGGTTAGAGGACAGGACTGTTGTGTGACTGTATCCTTTTCTTGAGAAAGAGGTCTTAGGGAAGCATTTAAGAGAGATCTGTATATAGCACAACTCAATTTTCAGTGTTATTTTCCATCTTAAGTACAGATTTCTGTGCTAAATTGTAATAAGAAGTAGGGATGTTAATGTGCACTTGTGTATACAGTTAACTGATAAACCTTGGCTCATTGGTTAACCTACACGGTTACATGCACACACACCCAGCATGGGGGAGGGGCAGGCAGGAGCTGGTAATACTGAATTTCAGCAGTTACACGTTTAAAAAAATAAACATTTGTTAACATCCCTAAAAAGAATAACTTAAGTTAACCAGGATTACCAACAGGATTTCACAAATGAAGTGGTTCTTTAAAAAGATTAAGTAAAATGTTTTCCTGTGCTGAACCCCAGTCTGGCCTAATTCTTAGGCACACAAAACTCTGAATTCAGTGCATTGCTTATTTTTGCTTAACCTTTTACTCTGAGTGCTACAAGAAAGCTCGTGTTGAACAAATGCTGTATAAATTCCTCATCATTTTGTAGCTTCAGAAATAGTTCAACTGCCTTGTGTGATGTATAGCAAGATCTATCAGCATTTTCGTCAGCAACTGAGGATCCATTCCCACAGACCAACGAGGCAGAGTGCATAACACAAAAGCCATTGAAGGATGACACCAAATGCGGACAGAAGTGCAGAGGTTGCTGGGATGCAAAGAGATGTACCACGGAGCACTCGGGACAGGATGCTCCGTATCTATCCTCTGCCTTCCCATAAACCTCTGCACAGAAAAGGAAGAGGTGCATTGTGGGATAGCTGCCCAAGACTGCACTGCTCCAAAAGGCACTGCAAGTGTGATGTCACTACTGTGCAGGAGCTGACAGTATGGACACCCAACAATATTGTCACTGCTTCACTCTCTGAGCAGCGCTGTAACTGCCAGTGCTTTACATCTGCCAGTGTACACACTGGCTTGGAATGGTGCGAAGAAACACTCCAGTCCAACAACATGTCAAAATCATAAAATACATGCCTCCCAACAAAAATACCAACCATTACCAAGCAATATTTTCCATTAAATAATACAGTATTTCTATAATGGGGAAAACTTCCATTGTGTTTTAGGGTTACGTAGCAAGCTAGCCAGATGCACTTAAATTGGAAGGCAGGGTTGCCTCGTTGCAAAAACAATGGACTAGGATTCAGGAGACCTGGTTTATATTCCTGGCTTTACCTCTGGCCTGCTGAGTATCTCAGGACAAATCACTTTACCTCAATTTCCTCAGCTGTAAAATACCGACCTTTGTAAAGCATTTTGCCATCTGATTATATGAAAAAAGGCATTAAGAGCTTGATATTATTATATTAATAAGAAAACAGATGTCATTCAAGGAAGTCTTAATTTGACTTAATAGCTGCTGCCCAACTCTCTTCAACCTGCACTCAGTTTATTAGTCCTTCACTTGTCACCTGAATCAGACCCTTTTGTCTTTTCCAGTGCCTACTGCAAGTGGAGTGGAGTAATTTGGAACAGAGGCTGTGGTTGCTTAATCTTGGCCACAAAAAATGCATCACAGACCATGAAATCTGGTCTTCTCCAAGTGAAAACTGGTCTTTTGTGGGTTTTTACGCAACAACCGTGGTGTCCAACATGCTAGCCACGTGTGGCTATTTTTCCAGTTGAGTGTGGCTTTTACATGAATATACAATACCTTTCACCTCACAGTATCCCGAACACCTTACGAAGGATTACCTCAAAATAAAAAACACTTGTAAATTGCAAGGTAGAAACTGGACTGGGCACTAAGTAAATGTATTATCTTTGGGATGAACGAGGGAAGTTCAGCAGAACATCAGCTCAAAGGCAGAGCAAGGGAAGTAGATTTGTGTTTAATAAGCATGCTAGGTTGAAAGGATATTCTTCCAAAACATCTTGTGGGCAATTGCCTGTTTTAAGGTGTCTTTTGACAGATTCCACAATCTTCCATGTCAACTGTGCAAGATTCAGTCACCCTTTTGTGCCATCCGGTTATTTCTCCAGTATTTGTCCTCAAATTTTTATGCTGCTGAAATAGGTTTTCAGAGATTTGCTTACCAAGCTCCAAAGACTGTGCTTAAGTTCAGTGGAACTACTCACATGCTAAAAGTCGGGCTGTTTAATGTGAAGCAGGCGCATAAGACCCTTGCTGGACTGGCGGGCCAATAAGAAAGGTTAAAACAGCATCTTTCCTCCTATTTAACTCTGATACCCACTGCCCACATCAAAGCTTTATCCACCACATCCAGTAATAATTCATCTTGCAAGAACAATTCAACCCAATGCATCAGGGAGGCAAAATGACTTGAGGAGGGAAAAGAATTGTGCTTGCAGTTTACATGATGGAAATAGGAATTCCTTACACTGTCAGCACCCCCTGTACAGAACTCTTGGTAAACAGCAGCGAAGTGCCGGGGGAACCAAACAAGCAGGCTAATGAAGGCCGTCTCTGTGTCCGATATGCTGTTCTGCTATTGCCCTGCACTCCTAAGACAGCAAAGAAAGAAATTCAACAGGTTGTTCCTTTGCCCTCTTAGCCCATGGTGCTCTTGCTCTGTCCCACCAAGTGCTTAAGGAGCTTAGGGAGGACCAATCAGCAGGGGCATAGCTCGCTGACCCTTCTTCCTCCTTCAGGGTAAAGAATGACCCATGGATATCCACTGGATAGCTCTGTAGCCTGTGCACAAGAGCACTGGATTGAGGCATGAAGAATGCATTTAGGGTTGCTGCTTTGTTTTTTACACTTTGCCTTTCAAGTTGTTTTCCTGTGGTCCTTGGTCATTACAGAAGCTGCAAGAAAGATTCCACGTTCTGGGGACATGATAAAACCATTGTGCAGAAACTGATTAATTCTTGTGGTGCCTCTGATTAGCGCTGCAGCAATCTATGCGCTCCGGCAGGCAAAGACAATCAATTTCCTTTAGGCGGCTAACTCTAGTCGTGGGGGCCTGATTTGTGAGGTGTGTTCCTCCGGCCTCCGTGCAACTGAGTTTTTAAGGGTTGCTAGGTAGAGGGTTTAACATGTAAAAAGTTGATCTTTCAACTAGCAGTGGGTTTCATATGCACTGAGAGTGAAAGATTAATTCAAGTCGCAGCTGTACTAAATGGCTGTGTTAAGTTTAGTATTGATCAACAACTAGAACTCAGCCTGGTCAGTTTATTTCTGAAATAGGAGTTCTGCCACCAGGAATGACAGGGGAGACAAAAACATGCCATAATCAACCTGGCCAATGACATTCTTCCAGGGATTAATGAACTCATGCTGTATGCCTGGGAACAGACTTCCCAAAAGAAAATGACCAAACCATACGAAAATACAAATTGCCACTGAAAGGGCTATGCTTAACATATTTGGGAGAATATACTGAGTTTAAGTACAATTTTTGGGTTGGTATTTCTCTGGAGTTTACATGCTACAGGTCACATCCATGTAGGCACTCATATGTCAACTTCTTCCATTGACCGTTTTTCATAACACAATCAGAATTCGTTGTACAGATAGGGCCCCATTTCCTCACAGGGTGGGGATTAGCGTCTCGGACCCAATACTTGCCCCCACAAAAGAGAAATGGGGTCAGTGTCTCCAAGCTTGAGAGTTTTACTCAAAAGTAAACCCCTTTTACTTCCTTTACCTTAAAGCGGAGTTTCTTTTGTGGTCTGCTGGCCTATGCAAATCACATCCTCAAATACAGGCTGCAAAACGTGAGCACAATGTGCTGGGTCATAACGAGCGAGCTCTGCAGATACTGAGCTTCAAACACTCTACATAGGGCCTACAAGAGTGAAAACAGACCCAGCTGTACCCTTTATTGCTTCCTCCACTTCTTTCCTGCATGCCATGGTAAAACACTTCCTCTGGGTTTTGGCATGGGAATTAAACAGAGAGATCACTTCAAAGCTGAAGTGGAGACCAACTCTATGCTTATCACTCCATCCTGAGAATAGAGATCTAGGGACACTCACTTGTCCACAATCCCTAAGAGGGAGGATGGGTGTTCTCACCGGAAATCAGGAAGGGAGGGGAGGAGTAATCTCTGGAATTAGCTTTCATTAATGGCCCATCAGAGACAGATTTTTACAGTCCTGTGTGGAAAGGAACCATCCCAAGCACGTTCTATGTAGATCACCCCCTCAGACCTGCCAGGACAATTCTGAAGAAATAGATAAAATACTTGCGTGTATTTTAGGAAGTGCAGAAAACAGGTCTTGACACCATTCATTAGCTCCCATTCTGACCTTTTAGGGCAAGAATCAATCAAAATGCCTTCAGTGACTCTTACAACAGTAGCAGCAGGCATCCTATTAGCACTGAACAGCTACATTCCCCCAACCCAGTTAGGCACGTGGGTCCAAGAGCAGAGCCTTGCATTTTACCCGTCAGTCTTGGAGACAGGCCACTGAAGAATGAAAGTAGTAAAAGACCAATTCTAAAGAGCAAATGCTGATAGGAAGTTGTCCACCTAAATGTTTAAAAAAACCCCCCAAAACCTCAGAATGGGACACTTTCAAACGAGAACATGTATGGGATGGCTGGGAAGTGTGCAAGGCCTGTGGGAGCCAGCACAGACTCATGCAATT